ATCTAAGCCTGCTAAGCCACTTGCCTCACTATTAGCTTGGGAGAGGGTCCAAGACCCGCTCCTTGCCCGTGGTCCGGCAGCTCAGTGCAGCAGGTCTGCGGTGTCAATGGGTATGATGATGCGAGTCACTGACGGTCCTGCTGGCATGATTTGTCAATGACGTGGGTGAGTGAGATGCTCACTGCCCACAGTGCTAGAATTTAAACACGTCTGACTGTCCATCCATCCCTCCATCCGTCCCCATCCATCCCCCCGCCTCATCCACCTCATCTCTCTCCCTATACAGACCCCTCCTTTGTCTGTCTGTCTTTCCATCTCATCTCTCTTCCTGGCATCTCGGTACCCGGCTCTCGCGCTGTCGCGCTTCTCTATTAGGGGCACAGTCAAGTGGATCCTCGGCCCTTTGGCGTCTAGGCAGTGAGGTCAGAGCAGGCCTAGGGTCGGCCACGGGTCAGAGGCAGCATAGCAGGAGGAGCTGGTTGCTCTAGGGTGGCTGGGCTGCCTGGATTGGGAGGAAAAACAGAGACTTGGGATTTCGAAGGGCAAGTGTCATCCAGGGGTTGGAGGAAGAGCCTGCGGTTTTGCATCCGAAAAAGTGAGGTTTTTACTCACGAAAGCTTATGCCCAAATAAATCTGTTAGTCTTTAAGGTGCCACCAGACTCCTTGTTGTTCCTGTGGTTTTGGTGTATCTGGAGCCTACTCAGCCTTAACCCCAGCCCCACTCCTTGTTTCAGTGAGAGGCGGCCCTGCGCTGAGAGCTTCCACTCTGGACATCTCCAGAGTCCAGGCATGTCCACAGCCGGGGTCTGGTTCATAGATATCCAGGTCAGCAGAGGCCGTTATGATGATCTCGTTTGACCTGCCGGACACAGGCCAGTGAATGCCACGCCCTGATTCCTTCTTCAAGCCCATACCTTGTGGTCGAGCTAGAGTGTGTCTTAGAAAGAGACACCAATCTTGCTTTGGACAGTCCCCAATGGAGAATCTGCCACGTCCCTGGGTTTGGCCTGGGACAGGCCACGTCCTCAGCTGCAGAGGTCGGTTCCAGATCCAGAAGCAAATCCACCAGAGTTCGGGGCTGCTCTGAGGTCTGGGTTGTTCCCATCTCTCTCGCTCGCTATTTCTATCCGGCCATCGCATTGCACTCTGGGTAAATGTGCTGAGCGGCGAATGGGACCCCTCCCCCAAAGAGCTTGCGGCCTGAAGGGACATGGATGCAGCCCAGACACAACCTAGGGAGAGCACATCTGCTGGATCCATTGATCCCTCCACCTGCCACGTCCGCACTGGAGTGCTCCATGTCGCAGGAGCATCGTCTCCACTGGAGGGACACAGCGTTTGCCACGGAGGGTCTTTTGCTCCAGATGTTGCTATCCCCTGGTGGCTGGAGACCGTTGTCTCTGGCTCCTGGGAAGGTGACTGGGTGACTGGGCTGCTGAATCCATTTGCTCTAGGATGTTTAACACGTTGTGACTGTCTCTTTCTCTCTCTCTTTTCCCATTCCCTCCTTTTCTCTCACGCCCTCTCTCTTCCCATTCCCTCCTTTCCTCTCACCCTCTTTCTCTCTCTTTTCCCATTCCCTCTTTCTCTCTCTCTTTTCCCATTCCCTCCTTTTCTCTCACGCCCTCTTTCTCTCTCTCTTTTCCCATTCCCTCCTTTTCTCTCACCCCCTCTTCTCTCTCTTTTCCCATTCCCTCCTTTTCTCTCACGCCCTCTTTCTCTCTCTCTCTCTTCCTTCTGCATTTCTTGCTTGGCTGCTCTTTCTTCTTTCCCTACTTCCCGTTGTGTGCTCTCTCCCCATTCCCCCTCGCCTCCTTCACCCTGTTTTTCTCTCTTTTCCACTTCTGCTCCACTCTGTCTGTCTCCCGACCCCCGCCCAGGTGAAAGTCTGGTTCCAGAACCGGCGCACCAAGCAGAAGAAGGACCAGAGCAGGGACTCTGAGAAACGCTCGTCCTCCACCTCCGAATCCTTCGCCACGTGTAACATCCTCCGGCTCCTGGAACAAGGGAGACTTTTGTCCGTGCCGGCCCCTTCCAACTTGCTCTCTCCAAATTCGAATCCCATCGGGAGCCCCGCCGGGAACGGATCCAGCCTGGCTCCCTCTGGCACCACCTCGCCTGGGCTGAGCAGTGGAAACAGCCCTCCTGGGACAGGAGCCTTCAGCCTGCAGGTCCCGTCGCTAGCATCCTCCTCTTCCTCACCCAGGCTCCCTGCCACCCCGCTCTGTTTCAGCGGCCCGCTCCTGGGAAGCCTGCACGAGCTACCTAGCGGCTACGGACTGGGGAGCTCTGCCTTTGAGCCTTACACACGGCTGGAGAGGAAAGACAGTCCCATACCCAGCAAGAAGCCGAGTCTTTAACTAAAAACCAGTGTCAAAATCATCCCCACCCCCTGCCCCCACCCCGTCTCCCGCATGGGGCTGTTCTGTGGCCAGTGGAATTGCAAAGCCCGTTGAACAAGTGTCCAGGTGACGTGCGTGTGACTGTGTCTTCCTGTCACGGAAATAAAAATACAGCTGCAGGCAACACCCTGTTTGACATGCTCGACTCGGCAGGAGACACACAGGGAAACCGCTGCTGCTGGGGGCCCCCCCGATCCCAGATTGCTAGAGGGTCAAAGACACCCCTCTTCAGGGTGCCAGCCAGGTAGTATTTATACACAGATGGTCTGTCTCTTGCCGTCGGGGCCAGGCTGGGGGAGCGAGGGACGGGGGAAGGTTTGCTGGCACCATGTGTGTTATTCTGACTTTGCCATGGAGTGAGACTGCGCGGTCGCTGTCTGATCTATTCAATTGTAGGTGCCCAAAATCACCCAATGCCCTGGATGTGGAGCCAGACCTGGACTGAGGCCAAGTGGGACAGGAAGCCCCAGGCAGCTAAAGCCAATCCCAGGGGGTGGGGGTTGGGATGTTACAAAATTCAGGGGCGGGGTGTGACGTTGGAAGAGCAGCTCCCCGCCGATTAGAGAGGCAGTGCGAGCTAGTGGTTAGAGCAGACATGGGCATCAGGGGTCCTGGGTGCTATTCCTGGCTCTGCCTCTGGGCAAGTCCCCATTTTGTGCCTCAGTTTCCCCATCTGTAAAGAACTTTGTGCTCCTTTGTTTAGGTGGCTTGGGAGAGTTTGGGGAGCCCGGCGCAGGAGGGGGAGGCTCAGAGTCCCGTCTCTGTGATCTTGCCTTAATCTGTCCCTGTTGCACATGAGGACAGCACTACCCTCGCTTGGTTTGTTAATCCCATCAAGCTAGTGGGGTGTGCTTGAAGGAGGAAGCAGGTACTGTACATACAGGTTGGCATTTGTGCCAATGATCCTTTCAGTCCCCCTCTCCCCCACACACCAGCACTTTTGGCACAGAGAAGAGTGGGACTCAGAGAGCCCCTTGCACGGATCCCAGCTCCCCCTCACTGTTCTCCTGCACTGCAGACGGGCCTGGGGGCCTCTGGCAGAACTTCTGCAGCAGTGCAAATGCAGGTACCAGAGCAGCAGCTTTAAGGACCCAAAACTTTGCACTCCCCCCCCCCCCAGGCCCAAAAGGGGTGTGTGGTGTTTGGATCAGCAGCCGTTGGCTTTTGACAGGGTATATCCAGCACTGACAGCTTACCCAGATGGGAAATGAATGGGGAGCCCTACAGATTGTATACAGCTTCTTAACAAACAATCTCTGGAGAGGCATCACTTTTACGTATCACACCAACACCCCAATGTCCATGCCCACTTGCCAAGCAGGATAATAAACACCGCTCCCAGGACAGCTGCCAGCCTGGACGATACGGCTGCTAGAAAACACTGCTATGCAGGGCTGTTAACTAACGTGACTCACGTTTTTACGGCTTTTCTACTAGGGACATGGGAAAAGACCCAAACATTTCCTTGTCAACCAACAGTGACAGCATGTGGGTTAGTCATTAAGGCCCAGACCCTCAATGGTATTTTGGTGCCTATGGGAGTTAGGCACCTCAATCCCTTTGACGATCTGGACCTAAGCCTTTAGCAAGAGCTTTTCTGACCCTTAAGATCACTCAGATGGTGTCGGAAGATTGAGGCTGGTCCTTGCCTTAAAGAGATGCCACCCGTGGAAAGTTTGTCAGTTTCGAACCATCCAAGTTCAAAGCAACTTGGGAATTTTCCTCCCTCCTCCCATGACAATTTTTGACCAAAATGAAAATGTTTCAGGTTTTGGCTAAAAATGCTTGGCTGTAGAAAACCAGCCTTTGTAGTTATTTGGGGGGTGGGGGCAGAGAGGGTTTAACTAAATGCTCAAAACATGGAAAATGGGCATTTCCCGTGGAACGTCCTGCAGTAACAGAAAGCCAGTTTGTGCCGCGAAACGGTTTGGATTGAACATTTTTGAGCATTTCTCGTTCAATGTCGTTTCAGGCACGACTTTGACCCCACGTGCCGCTGGCCGTGTCAGTCGCCTGTTCTTATTGTTTTAGAAACCTGTGAAAGAGGGACACAAACAACAGGTGAAACGGACTAAAGTGACTGGACAGGGGACAGCCTGAAAACGACTGTACAGAAATTGTTATCAAATGCACGAAGCAACCAAACTGAAAAGCAAAAATCGAACTCGTTTTCCTGTCTCACCCCTCGCAGTTCTAGCGTGTGTGGTGTTACTGTGACTACAGTGGGTAAAGGGTTTTCAGAGAGAAGAGAAATTGCTGGTACAGTACCCCGGTAACTGGACCTTACAGGTGGGATCAAGAGAAAAAATTGTCATCCAGATCCAGATTTTGAACCCTCCCAAATTCAGACCCAGGTTTGGGTTCAGCCCTCTAGCAAGTGGGAAGCGGGCGCAGGGCTTTACAAAAGGGTTTCAAAAGCCCCCTGGGGCTTATTGGAATGTGGAACTTCGGTTCTGGCCCATTTCCCAGCAATGGGGATCAGACTCAGAAGCGTTTCTCCAGACTCCCCAGCCAGTGGTCGTTCAGATCAGATAATACCCAGATTCAAACCACCCTTGATCTGGTTCTGTGAGGCCCAATGAATGCTGGGCAGAGCTAAACCCAAAGCCACCCTGTTTCCCTCCCCCCATCTCTAATTTAATCCCCCACCATGGCCTTGCTCCTGCCCTGTCTCTTTGCCGATGCAACTGGCACAATAAGCGACTTCTATGGCTTTGCCACAGACACCCAAGGGTGTGTGACGTCCTGCTGATGGGCCTGACTGATCAGAGTCGAGGCTGGCCGGGACTCCTGTCTGCCTGTCCATCTGGGTCCTGGGAATAGGGAAATAGACACAGGCCGAAAGCCGGTGAACCCAGGATGTGTGGGCTGTGTCAGAGGGAAGAACGGCTGTGAGAACACAAGGGCATTATTGGCAATGGGCCCGATCCTGCAGTCCTGACTTGGGGCCAAACTCCCATTGACTCCAGTGGGAGCTGGGCTGGCCTGCTGAGCACTTGCAAGTTCCTGCAGCCTTGATGGGGTTGTGGGCGCTCAGCGTCAGTACCTCTCAGAATCGGGCCCAGACGGAGGGCCTGATCCTGACATCCACACTTATGCCCCAGCAAGCAGCCTTCTGGACGTCAACAGGCTTCTTTATGCGAGTCGACTTGGAAGGGCTTCAGGATTTCCTCCTGCTCTCTTGGCTCCCTTGCAAACCTACGTCCTGATCCTGCAAGCGGCTGAAGCCCCACTGGCTCTGAAAGAGATTTGGGGGGGGGACACTAATCAGCTGAACACGAACTCCCAGTGTGGCCAAAAGGGCCAAGGGGGTCCCTGGGGTGCATAACCAGAGGAATCTCGGGTAGGAGCAGAGAGGTGATTTTACCTCCCCATTTGGCACTGGTGCGACCGCAGCTGGAATCCTGGGCCCAGTTCTGGCGCCCACCATTCAAGAAGGATGTTGATAAATTGGAGAGGGGTCAGAGAAGAGCCAGGAGAAGGACGAAAGGTTTCAAAAACTGCCTTGTTGTGATAGACTCCAGGAGCTCAGTCAATTTAGCGTAACCAAGAGAAGGCTCAGGGGTGAGTTGATGACACTCTATAAGTACCTACGTGGGGAACAACTATTTAATAACGGGCTCTTCCGTCTAGCAGAGGAAGACCTCACAGGAACCAATGGCCGGGAGTTGAAGCTGGACAAATTCAGATTGGAATAAGGTGTAAATTTTGTAATGGAGGGTAATTAACCATTGGAACAATTGACCAAAGGCCGTGGTGGATTCTCCAGCACTGACAGTTTTTGAATCAAGATGGGATGTTTTCCTGACAGCCTCGGGTCTAGGGATTATTTCGGGACAGGTCCCCGGCCTGGGCTATGCAGGAGGTCAGACTAGATGGTCACATGGTCCTATCTGGCCTTGGCATCTGTGGCTTTGATGGCAGGGTTGGGCCGCACAGGCCTTCAACTGGCCATTGACAAGTCACAGGTGCCACCACCCCCACCCTGATTGTAAACTAGGGCCCGATCCTGACCTGCCCCCATTGAGACCAATGGCTTCCATGAGGCCAGGATTTGGCCTGTGGCGTATTGTGCATAGATTGCTGTCTGCCGCTTAGCATGGTGTTTGGCCTGGCCTGGCCTTGCTATCTGTAAGGGGTTCCCCCCGCCTCATCCCTCTCTCCCACATCCTGCCACCTCTCGGGCTCAGAGCTCAGCCGGACGCTGCTGAGTCTCCCGGCGAAGGCTCTTTTGCCATGAGGTTGCAGATGGGTTTGGGGCCTGGAGGGTCCCTTTGGTGCCCCCAGCAGCCTGCATTAAAGGCCCGGCTTTGGGAAGCAGGAATGGATCAAGCCAGACCCATCGCTATTTTGGCCTGGTAGGGCCCAGCAACCCCCACTTCCACAGCCCCCAAACCCAGCACTTCTGCTGGTGCTCAGGGTGTCCCTGCATTGGGGTGATGAGGAGGGGGCGGAGTTTGGAGGCTAGGGCACATCCCACTGCCTAGCACCCAGGTCAGGCCCTGCCCGCTGGGCGGAGCCCAGGTCACTTTATCTCCTGACACCCATGCAGACTCGCTCACCCGGTTGGAGCTTTGCGCAATATTTGCCGAGTCCTGGGAGACGATGGGGGTGGGGTGGGGTGGCAGGGGTGTGTGTGCAAAGATTAGCCCTTACAGGGACAGATGATACCCACGAGCTCGCGTTCTGCCCAGGGAATCCTTAGCAAGGTGCCAGTTGACCTCGCCCGCCTGGCACTCCTCCCAGTGCCCACTGAGATCCCAGCTGCAAATGCCTTGTTGGTTTCAGGGAAGTGACGCCGCTGTCACCCTGGGCAGGATCTGCCCTGGATGTTTGCGGGTGGGTGGGTTTCCCCTGCGATCCTGTCAGTGATTGTGTGTGCAGGGTGGGAGAGAGAGGTCATGGGAGTGGGCGGTGCGGTGACACAGGGCAGGATGGGGGCTGAGGTGATGTCCTCAAGACCAGGATTGATGACACCCTGTGGCAACTGGGATGGGAGGAGCCCCTTGAGCTACACACTAACATGGGTTCTGTCTGATTTGCTCCCCTTGTTCATTCCCAGCTATCCTGTTCTCTCTCTCCAGCTCCTCTTTTTATCTTCATTTGCCTCCCCTTTCCCCTCCCCCTCTATCTGCATCCCCCTTCCCCTGCTCGGCTCTCTGTGTTTAGCAGAACGGGGCCACGGCGCTTTCAGGGTTTGTTACAGCCCCCGGCTGCGTTTGGGCGGGGACAGGACGGGGGGGTTAGCAACCTCGCCATTTCATAGCATTGGGCCGTGTCCTCTGTGCCAGAAATGCTGCCCCTCAGGAATGAGCAATGGAGAGTGGAGACACCTTTCAAGGCCACTTAGTGGGTGCGGCTAGGCTAGGCTCTAGGTTGTAACTGTAAAGCTACAGGTTCAAATCCCCTACATGGTGGAAAGGTCATTTCTCATCCTGGGGGGGTATAAATCCAGGCACCAGCGGAGGAAGCACGTGCTAAGGGGCAACATTCTGTCCATTCTTGGGGCAGCACAGTCCAGGTGGTTTGGGTTTTTTTGTTTTTTCTTGGGGCGGCAAAAATGGTAGAGCCGGCCCTGTATAAATCAAAATCCTGGGGCTTCCTGGCAAGGTAATTAATGCAGCATTGGTCAACATACCTTTTGCAAAACCGGCTTGCCCACCAATGGGCCTGTTTTCATGGGAAATTTTCACCTGGGTCCCGGTCTTTCAGCAACAAAAGTGCAAACTGAAAACAGACATTTGTCAGTAAAATTTTTAGCTTTTCAACAATGGAGCAGTTTTACCAGAAACCAATTATTTCAATCCGTTCTCCCTCTGCTTTTGGCTCCATTTTTTGTCTAAACACAAATGTTTCATAGAAAATATTTACAAATCAGTGACTTGCTGGCAGCCACTGATTGGCATTTTCCACACCGGCTCTAGTTAAAAGCAAAGCCCTGTACGGGTTATGCCAAGGGTTTCTGTGGTGCTTTTTATATAAGGAATCTTTGGCCTAAATTCATTCCCACCCGTGCCCGTTAGTTGCTGTTTGTAAACCCCTATACGGTCATTAGTGGAGTCAACCATTCGTCTTTCAAAACCCAGACCCCGGTTCGGGAAGGGTACTTATGCACATGCTTAAAGTTAAGCATGTGATTCAGTGCTTTGCTGAATCGGGCACTAAAAGCACATATCTCTACTGCTTTAACTCAGTGACCAGCTCCACAACGGCTCTCAGGAGTAACTTGTTTTCCTCTATATGGACCAGTCGCTTACCCTTAGCCAGTGTGTTAAACTCCTCCCCCTATTTTGAAGGGAAATATTTAAAATAAATGTTTTTATAAAGAAGGTTTCACTCTTTTTTTTTTAAATTCAATATCTATGAAATAATATTTATCGTGCATGTCACTGTCTGAGCACTTTGCAAATATTAGCTAATTGGCACTTTTGGGAGGTAGCAAAGTATCACTATCACTTTTTCATATATGGGGAAACTGAGGCACAATGAGGGGCCTGTGAGTTGCCCAAAGTCATAGACATCATTGGCAGAATAAAGAGCTTCTCTCTCCCAGGCCCAGAGCCTCAAAGGTGCACCTAACACCCTTTGGGGATTTGCTTAGACAACATCTCTCTATTCTTATCAGGGTTTGTTACCAGAGCTGGTTTACCGTTCCCCAAATTTGACTTTTCAATGGACTTTTTGGTTGACTTGCAACAACAAAAAATTGCAACAGCATTTTCACACTTTGCCTCCTACGTTTTCCTACAAGCTCTGGGGCTGATGGCCGTTTTGGAAAGGTCAGCATTGTTTTATTACATTTTTTGGCTGACATATGGTGTTTCGACAGGAAAAAATGATACACTCCCCCAAAAATACATTTTTGCCATTTTTTTCTTTTTCATTTTCCCTCCAGCTCTGTTTGCAATCCGTTTGTCTGAAAAACCAACACCTGGAATCGGGGCCTTAGGCTAGCAAACTGCTTCCTGTTAATGTTCAAGGGCATTTCCTGGTTTATTCCTGGTGAGGAGTATTTCCGACCTTTTGAACTTGGACACAGCCCCGTGCGGCAAACTTTGTGCACAGATCCTGTCATTCAAATACGAAGAATTTCATATTTGCCTGGAGGCCCCAAACTTGGCAGAAATAGAATCCTTATGATTTAGGGCCAGGATCCTCTCACAGAGGGGCATCGGCAAGCAGAAACGTCTCTTTTGGGCAAATTATCCCATATCTGCCTGCTGCAGGTTTCATACACATTCCTCTGGTGCTGGCCCCTGGCTGAGACCAGCTCCTGGGCTGGACAGTCATCTCCAATACAGCCGGCCCTGTGCTCCAAACCCTGAATAAGGGCCTGGGAAATAATCATGAGCAAGTTTGACAACTTTGCAAGGTTTCTTGTGTCTTGCTCTAATTTGGGGGAAATGGTCCGATCTGGTGACAAACACATTGCACTTCGAGAGCTGTTTTTTGTCCTTGTAAATTTCGAGGAAGAAAGGGCCGACTTTCCCCCCGGTTTTCTTGCAAGAGAGCCTCCAAAGTTTTGAAATTCCAAAATGTCATGACACAATTAGGCTTTGGGAGCATTTGAAATGTCACAAGTTTGGATAGAAAAAAAACAAACGAACCAACCCCCCCCAAAACCCTACCAACAAACTGTCCATACTTTGGAGATGATTTTGCAGAAAGTAATATACTGGGGGAGGAAAGCCACTAACGGACCCTGAACAAAATGGCAAATCTTTTTCCTAAAACTCCTGGGTGGAGGGACAGGATAATTCCTATTTTTACCTGGCTCAAATCCTGATCCTGAGCTGGCACGCTGCTTTTTCCTTACTGCACAGAGAGTTCCTTCCAAAGTCACTAGCGTCCCCTCCAGAAATGTTCAGACGTCTGCTTTAACCAGTCAATGAATCATCGTCAAATCTGATCTCAGCAACACCAACCATTCAGGAAATAACCCTGTAACCCTACTGCTCCCGCCCCTCTCTCTCTCTCACACACACACACAGTTCTAACAGTCTTGAACACCAGAGATAAATCCTGGAAATGTATCGTAACGTGTACAATTTGAAAAAGAAAAAAATAAGTACTGTCTGTAAAACTTTAATGAACAACGTGGTTTCTGATGGTTAATAAAAGTGATGTCATGATGCCCACCTGCCTTTTCTTCCTTGCCGTCAAAGTGTGCGGAGCAAGCGGTCGCTGTGAACCAGCCCCACAGTTTGAACGTCAGAACGCCAGCAGCATTGCCCACTTGGACTATTTTTAAGGGGGGGAAATTGAAACGTTCCCAATGTCCCCTCCCCCCGCGTTAAACCAGATCAGCAAAATATCAACTTTCTACAAATCAAATCTGAGAAATGCTGTCAACCCGCCCCACTGGAGCAATCCAGTGCTCTCGCGCAACCCTACACTAACAACCCAGTGTGTGCAGCCGGCATTTGTGGGTGAGCGGACGATAACCAACCCCGGGGGGCAGATGAGATGTGGGGCCGGGGTAGGGGGGGGTGTATAAGAGAGGGAATCTTTAAGGCCCTGTTGTGGCAGAAAGACCGGCCTAGGGAAATAAAACGCATAACACAGGGTCCCTCACATCCACACAGTGACACACACACACGGGCTCTCTCACAACACTTTCATCCAACCATAGACATTAAAGCTGGAGAAGGGGCTGCTGCCTCTCCGCCTGCCCCAGCCCAAGAATTGGAAATGGGCCACAGATCACTCGCTAATTGCCCTGTTCTGTTCATTCTCTCTGGGGCACCTGGCACTGGCCACTGTCCATAGACAGGATACTGGGCTAGATGGACCTTTGGTCTGACCCAGTCTGGCCGTTCTTATGTTCTCGTCAGTCCTCTCTCCAGTCCAGCCCGGTCTCATACACCCCCCGCCCTCAGGGCAGCCGGAGCACTGGGACCATTGGATCTGCCCCACTCTGCCCACCAGGGACAGGGAATCACTGAGCCCTAAGTGACTGGACCAAGGCCACAGAGGGAGGCAGTGGCAGAATGGGTTAGCTCCTGGCTTGCAGGCCGGTGCTCAGATTGCTGGGCCGTGCTGAAAGCGCCACAAAGACTGACCATGCTGCCATCCACACACAGCTACACACACACACACACACACACACACAATCACCTTCTCGTCCACACTGTTACACAATCTTCCCCTACACACACACAAAACCACGTGTACAAGCACACACAATTATACACCCTTCTCCTGCAGGCACACACATTACAAAACCTCCTACACACACATTTATCTTCTCCTCCAAACAGACACAATTTCACAACTCTCGCTCCACCCACAAAAAAAACCTTCCGACTCCCTCAGGACACAGATACACAACCCCACGCTACACACAACCACCACCTATTCCCCCCACCACATAGCTACACAACCCCCCATTACACACAGCCACCATCTGTTCCCCTGACACACAGCTACACAACCCCCTGCCACATACAACCATCATCTACTCCCTGGCACACAGCTACACAACCCTCACCACACACAACCAACCCCTACTCCCCCAACACACAGCTACACAACCCTCACCACACACAACTACCACCTACTCGCTGACCACAGCTATACTATCACCTGCCACACACAACCACCGCCTACTCCCTGCCACACAGCTACACACACCCCTGACACACAAGAAACCATCACTTACTCCCCTGACACACAGCTACACAACCACCACCTACAATCCTAAGTACTACTACACACACCTCTGCCACACACACAACCACCTACTCCCTCAGCACACAGCTACACAACACCCTGCCACAGACAGTCACTGTCTACTCCCCCAGCACACAGGTACACAACCCTCTACCACACACACAACCACCTACTCCCCCAGCACACAGTTACACAACCCCCTGCCACACACACAACCACCTACTCCCCCAGCACACAGCTACACAACCCTCTGCCACACACAGTCACTGCCTACTCCCCCAGCACACAGCTACACAACCCTCTGCCACACACACAACCACCTACTCCCCCGGCACACAGGTACACAACCCTCTGCCACACACACAACCACCTACTCCCCCAGCACACAGGTACACAACCCCCTGCCACACACACACAACCACCTACTCCCCCGGCACACAGCTACACAACCCCCTGCCACACACACAACCACCTACTCCCCCGGCACACAGCTACACAACCCCCTGCCACACACACAACCACCTACTCCCCCAGCACACAGGTACACAACCCTCTGCCACACACACAACCACCTACTCTCCCAGCACACAGCTACACAACCACCTCCTCCCCCTGCACCCAGAGCTCAATGCAGAGCCCTGAGCTGCGGTCTCACTCAGCCACCCCCAGGTGGGCGCGCTCAGGTGACCTTCACCTGCATTCAGGGCCTGGGGCTCCCAGCCAGGTGCCGAGGTTGCCCCAGTTTACAGTCAACAGGGGCCTGTGTGGGCAGGTCTAACCCCCGCCGGGCCGGGAAAGGGGCAGATCTGACCGGTGTGGGCCAGTGAGGGACGAGCAGGGCAGCGTAACCCTCTGCTATAAAACCCCCTGGCTCCCTCCCGCCCCAGCTGTGCCCAGCGATGGCTGCCAAGGTAGAGGTGAGGCTCGGCGGGCACCCAGCAGCACTGGCAGGGGCCCAGGAGCATGTCCAGGCCGTCACCAGGAATTACGTCACCAACCCCAGGCTGAGTGAGTACCGTCGGGGGGGCCGTGTTGGGGGGAGCAGGGCTGGCGAGAACATCCCCCCTCCTGCAACAATTGTTCCACCCCCTCACCCATAATGTTAGCCCTGCTAGCACCTAGCCTGGGGCTGTGTATGGGGGGGCGCAGCAGGGAGAGGGGAGAGCTGTGGGGACTTGAGCTCTTTGCATTTAGGCCCCCCAAGCCTGCGTGGTTTCCACCTTGGCTGGATGTGGTGGCTGGGTGTGGGGAGCTGGACTCCTGGGTTCTTTCCCCTGCTCTGTGGCCCTGGGCAAGTCGTGGCCCTGGGCAAGTCACGTCCCTGCCCCGTGCCTCAGTTTCCCCACCTGTCCTTTCTGAGTGGCTGGAGCACCTCGGGTGAAGTGCCGAGCCTGGTACACGTTTCTGGGAAGTGCACGGAGGGATCCTTCCGCAAACCCTGGCAATCAAGGGCATCTGTATGGCAGGCTCGGGGGGGCTCCCTTCCCCCAGGGGGTGTACATGGGGCCTGTTGGATTGGAGTCCTGAACTCCCTCTAGGATGGAAACCCTTTTAGTCTCTGTCTTCTGCCTCCTCCTTGTGTTAGCTGCACCCCCAGCCCAGAATGGCTGAGAGGAAGTGACCCTGGAATGGTGCCAGGGCACCATTTCCCTGTGGCTATGGGGCTGACTCACCTGCCCCATAGCTTCATACAACGCTTGGTGTTCACACTGCAGCTCGCTGTCTGGGAGGCTGTTTCATACTGAAGTAAAAGGGTGTCATTTACCCCAAAGAGAAGGGCACTGGGCCAGGTTCTGTTCTCAGCAACTCCGGCATAAATGCGGAGTGACTCCAGCAAAGCCGATGGAGTGACTCCAGATCTACACCAGTGTAAATGAGAACAGAATCAGGCTCCGAAAGTGGATTGCTCAGTGAGAAACTTTAGATGGCGAAGGAGTCTATCTCGTCCCAAATTCTGTATAGAAGTCACTTGGCAAAGTATTCAGCAGTCTCCACCATTACCCCTCCTCCCCTCAGGTGTTGTGGGTGGGTGAGAGACAGAGAGATTGGGTTCTGTTTGTGTGTTTAGTTTTGTGTGTGTGTGTGTGTGTGAGTGGGTGAGAGAGAGAGAGAGAGAGAGATAGGGTTCTGTTTGTGTATTTAGTTGTGTGTGTGAGAGAGAGATCAGGTTCTGTTTGTGTATTTAGTTGTGTGTTTGTGTGTGAGAAAGAGAAAGAGAGATCGGGTTTTGTTTGTGTATTTAGTTGTGTGTGTGAGAGAGATCAGGTTCTGTTTGTATATTTAGTTGTGTGTGTGTGTGTGAGAGAGAGAGAGAGAGAGAGAGATCAGGTTCTGTTTGTGTATTTAGTTGTGTGTTTGTGTGTGAGAAAGAGAGATCAGATTCTGTTTGTATATTTAGTTGTGTGTGTGTGTGAGAGAGAGAGAGATCAGGTTCTGTTGTGTATTTAGTTGTGTGTGTGAGAAAGAGATCAGGTTCTGTTTGTGTATTTAGTTGTGTGTGTGAGAGAGCGAGATTAGGTTCTGTTGTGTATTTAGTTGTGTGTGTGAGAAAGAGAGAGATCAGGTTCTGTTTGTGTATTTAGTTGTGTGTGTGTGTGAGAGAGAGAGATCAGGTTTTGTTTGTGTATTTAGTTGTGTGTGTGAGAGAGATCAGGTTCTGTTTGTGTATTTAGGTGTGTGTGTGTGTGTGTGTTTACTTGCCTGTCTTCCTCTCTGCCTCTGGACACATGCAGACTGCAGGTCTGGGTGTGTGTGGCTGTCTCTGTGTGCAGACATGAGTGTCTGTGTCCCACCCACACAGCCAGCGCCTCAAGCCCCCGGCCTTGCAAATGCTCCCAGCTAACCTTGCCCAAGGAGAACTCCCGGAAGAGGTCCCAGCAGCTCCACTCCCTGACGTCAGCCCAGCCTGACAGCTTCTCAGAGTAATACACAGCCCTGCAACCGGCCCTGGGGCCCCAAATGTGCACCGCTCCCAGGTCACAACTTCTTCATGAGCAGAAGCAGCAGATGAGCTGAAGTCTTTAAACAAAACCAGTCTCCCCCAACCACTCAGACAGCAGCACCTGCTGCTTGCGTGCATCCCGGGGACTGGCTTGTGTGTATGCGGCACTCCCACCCTCCACTGGATGGAATCAGAACTGCTCAAGCGTGTGTCATGGGCCCTGCACGGCACACAGCTACCGGAGATGCTCTACAGGCTTGGCTTGTGGAACAGGAGGATCTGAGTTGTGTGCCCCGCTGATGCTGAGTGACCGAGGGATGCAGGGGAAGGAATCTGCAGGGGACTGGCTAGCGTGGGGGTGGGCTACAGAGCCTTTTCCCCTCTAAGGCACCTGTTCCACTCAGCCCATCAGTCCAGACAGGTGACGGCTACTGAGTGGACGTTGAGCACTGAGTCCGGAGGGGAGGGAGGCTCAAGTCCAGGTGTGCACCTCGCACTAACGGCCAGCACGGTGGGCACTAATTGGCCCCTTGTTGGCAATCTGTGTAGAAAGGGCCTCTGGAGAGAGACCGGCCCGCTCCTCCCTAGAGCTGGTCCCTCCCTGCTAGAGCAGTGTGGGGGAGCCTTCAATTCCTCAGTCCCAGTCCCGGGCCTCAGTTGCTTGGCCACCCGTGGCATGAGCCAGGACAAAGCCTTTATCCACCCAGCCCCCTGGGTTGTGGGCACAGAGCAGAGGGTCCCCATCTGCCCCAGTAATTCAGCGCAGGTGCCAAAACCGGTGGGTGCACATTTCGCAGGCCCACGTGTGTTCGCGAAAAGACCACCTGGGTCTGATTCTCTTGGCACGTCCCCCAGCTCTGCGTTCGGGCGAGCCCATTGTTACTCCGGATTGACACCCGTGGAAGTGAGAGGCAACCCAGGCTCTCTCTGCCTGTGGTTAAACAGCTGGGGTGCGCTGTGACAGCAGCGTTCCAGGCAAGCACATATCAGCTCTTCGGTACCTGGTGCTCCCTGTCCCCCCTCAATCTGGCCTTAGCCGGCTGCCTCAGGGCCCGGACTGTC